GTTACAAATTTGTAAATGTGTAGCCAAATATCAATAAGATCTTCTCTTTTCCAATTCCCTCTAATTATAACAACCTCATTTATTCTTACCTACCCCTATTGTAGATCTCTCCTCATTTTTCACCCATAAATATTTAATTTAATTAATGAAAAAGAATCATATGCAAACAAAACTGAAAAGAAAAATCAGTTCCCCATTCAGTCAACACTCATTCGTGCCTTCTTCCATAACCAATACTTCTCTATTATTTTTTTTTAAATTTTGTATATCTTCAGGTTTATACATACCTATCACAACTGCAAAACGCAAAAACAGACGCGAGAAAAAAATCTCATCTCCTTTAATGCTAATCTTGTTAAATTTCGATTATGATTTTGTGAGAAATTTATAGTTGGTATTGTTTGAACTTATTAGAAATAGTCTAAGTAGGTTGTATACAAAGTTTGAAGTTATTTGCTGGAGATTTGGACTAAGTTTTATACAAGAATTGCAAGTGAAAATCGTACAAAAATTTCATCAGCGATACTTATACACTTTTATACAATGTTATACACTTTTATACAAAGAGGTACAGTATGTATATAGTTGTATAAATATGTATAATCACAGAGTAAAAATATTCTTGATACACTATGTATATAGGTGTATAAGAAGAATGAGAAGAAGAAGAAGAAGAAGAAGAAGAAGAAGAAGAAGAAGAAGAAGAAGAAGAAAATGCGAGAAATTCACCAAATACCTGTAAATAATGTATCAACCTTGGATATAATAGTGTATAAGTTGTGTTTATACACTATTATATACTATTTATACAATATTATACATTATTATACAAATGAATCCTATCAATGGAGCTTCACGTGTTCTTCTTCTTCCTTGGGCATCTTCTGAAATTTAACTCAAATATAGCCTAAATCTACTCCAAATCACTTGAAATTTAAGTTTTGAACTCATCTTGATGATTCCAATCAATTGAGACAACACCCATTCCAAACAACTAACAAATCGGAAAACTTAATTTCTGAAATCGAATCTTCGAACCACTTGTAATGGTGACTTTTATTTTTCAAATCCTTAGTTAACCATTGAAATCCGAAAAAGAATTGAAGGAGAATAACAATAGTAGAGAAATTTTGTGGTGCAAAGGCTGACATGGGAAGGAGAAGAAGAACGAAGAAAAAAGGGGAACAAGAATAAAGGGAAACGAAGAAATAAGGGGTGGGCTAACTGGTGAAAATTAATTTTCACATTATGTACAATCTGGGCTATACTGGGTAAGGGCTTTAAACATGGGCCATTTTCTGATGGGTTGTTGGTCCAAGTGACAAGGGATGTAATTCTCCCTTAAAAAAATTAGATGTTAAAAAATTAATTTTATGCGCACAAAATTAGATGTTAAAATTTAGCAAATTCAAAAATATTATAGAATTATTAGTTAAGTAGTGTATATATTCTAACTCCTGAATTTCCTACATCATTTCTGTTTTTTTTTTTTTTATTGGAAAAGAATTGCAACTTGAAATTCTTTCGCAGGATGTATTATTGCATAACTTAATATTTTTAAAAGAAAAAAGGAAAGAAGTTTACCAATGCTTTACGTTTAAACTTTAAACACCAACAAACAAAATCAAGTTACGCAGATAAAAGTAACTTTTAGGATTTAATAATTATCGGACTTTTACCAATGCCACCTTTTTTTTTATGATTTTATTACGAGCAATAATGTACATAGAGGCGGACCCAAAATTTGTATTTTATGCATGACTTTTAAGTTAATATATAGTAATAACTGAGTTACCAGTCAAATATTCAAAAATATTAGTAAGTACATTTCTTGAGCGAAAATTACTAGGTTCCTGTTAACCCGTATATTATAGTCTAGATCCGCCTCCAAATGTACACAAACATTCACATAAATGGCATTGTCTTAATTTCACAATCTTTTAGCAAAAATTGTGTTTCAAGATCTTTATATAATGAAGAAAAATCATAAAGTATTGCCTAAGGTCAATTTCCATTATATCTTGTTTATTTTAATCTTGAAGATTTTGGAATGTCTCTTTTGTTTGCGCTTTAAAGTAAACTGTGTTTTGATGACATAATCATAGGTTCGAATTATTTTCCTCTTATTTGAGTAATTTCATGAATAATCTTATTAAAACTTCTCAAATCATCAATATGCCGTTATTTTATAGATTTATTAGGAAAAAATAAATTAAATGAAGTGATCATGGATTTCAACAACATATGCGCCGTTTACCTAATAAAGTCAAAAAATGAATCATTAGATATAATTATTTTTGTGTTCGTTTAGTGACTATCACCATAACTAATGTTTCCTAAGTGTCTCACGCTCTTTGCCTAAAGTTTAAAAAGTAGCCATCAATTTCCCACTATTTGGTTTTCAAAATTGCATCATATCAGTTGTGCCCAAACCCATTAAAAAAGCAGCTCGGTGTATAAAGTATTAAGCGTTCATGTAAGATCCGCGGAAAGACTGTACCCTGAGAAGGTGCGATGCAAGCAGTCTACCCTACTGCAAGCGTCAGGTGTATAAAACATTTCACGTTCGCATAAGATTCGTAAAAGGGCTGTACCTCGAGAGGGTGTGATGTAGGCAGTCTATTCTAATGCAAGTGTCAAATGTATAAAGCATTTCACGTTTACATAAAATTCGTGAAAGGATTGCACCCCGAGAAGGTGTGATGTAAGCAGTCTACACTATTGCAAGCGTCAAGTGTATAAAGCATTTCATGTACGTAAGATCCGCGAAAAGGTTGCACCCAGAGAGGTTGCAATGTACGCATTCTACCCTAATACAAGCGTCGGGTGTATAAAGCATTTCGGTCACATAAGATCCACGAAAGGGATGTACCCCGAGAGGGTGCGATATATGCAGTCTATCCTAATGCAAGAGTCAATGGCTAAATTTACGATTCAAGCACTTAACTTATAGGTAATGGAGATACAACTTTACCGTGCCCCATCCCATGGGAAGAAACAAAAATAAAAATAAAAAGCACAACATCAATGTCATATTGTCACATAATTTCACATTGCTTGCTAAAAGAAGGGACATTAAAGTAATTTCATAGAATATTGCCTCTATAAAAATCACACTACAAAAAGTTCCAAGTACTATAACTCAAGAAAAAATGTATCCAAAACTTCTTGTTTTGGTACTCACTAACTTCTACATTTTCTGCTTACTAGCTTTAGCCTCTGACCCTGACCCTGTCCAAGATTTTTGCATACCTAACACAAAAAAATCAAGGTTCAATTTTTCACCATGCAAAAATTCTAAGTTACTAACACCTGATGATTTTATATTTTCCGGTGTAAAATCGCCGGGAAATTTCTCCGATACCGGACTCGCGGCCGTGTCGGTGAACCCTACAATATTTCCAGGACTTAACACGTTAGGAATGTCATTTGTACGTGCTGATTTGAAGATTGGTGGCATAAATCCTCCTCATTTTCACCCTAGAGCTACAGAAATTGCATACATTTTACGTGGTAAAGTTTATTCAGGTTTTATCGATTCGAATAATCGAGTTTTTTCTAAGGTAATTGAACAAGGAGATGTCATGGTTTTTCCTAGAGGACTAGTACATTTTCAGATGAACGTTGGAAAAATTCCAGCGACGATTTTCGGGTGTTTTAATAGTCAAAATCCAGGCAATATGAAAATTCCAGCAACTATTTTTGGTTCTGGAATTAATGATGAGCTTTTGGAGAAGGCTTTTGGATTAAGTCTTGAGCAAATTGCTATAATTAGAAGGAAGTTTTTTCCTAAAAAGGCAAGGTAAAGTGTGAAGGGCTTTATTGGCCTTTATTGGATATTAAAGAAAAAATTCGAAATTTAAGCAATTGGCTGGACGACTATTTAGGTTAATTCTTCTCGTAATTATTCAGGATCGTCATTGAGTATGGAGTTTCTTGAGAAACGGTGGAAATGAAGGATAAGTTTCCCTTTTTGTTAATTTTGTAATTTTTTTTCGATTACCTTTTTTTCTTTTTTGGCTTATGAATTATTTTTGTTTGTTATTGTCCTTAAAAAGAACTATAGTGAAATGATTTATGACACAATGTTTGTGTTAGTGTAATATAACTAGGCCTTTCTACAATATTCATAGTATTGAATCATTTTTCTCTATTTCTCTATATGTTATACTTCGATTTCTATTATTACCTATTGTCACCCTTGCTTTGATTGTCTTATTTCTTTGTTATTTTGCTGTTGTTACTGTTCTTTGTTTCGTTAGTCTCAACGTGGCTTCTTCACTACTGCTTTTCTTTTTCAAAATTGTTGAGAAATATTTTTCTTGAGCCGCGTCTTCCGGAAACAGCCTCTCTACCTTCACAAGGTAGGGTAAGGTTTGCATACACCAGAGGCGGACACACATGTTAAGTTGAGAGGTCAACGACATTACAAATGTCTCCAAAAAATATTCAGATATTAGCATAGCCCCCCCCCCCCCTCCCCTCCCACCAATCTTTATGAGCAGTGACACTCAATATAAATTTATTACAAATGAGCTTCAGACCTCACATTGTGGGAATATACTGAGTTTGTTGTTGTTCTCTTTTCTTAAAGCTCAGACACTTCTGGAAATTCTTAGTTAGGCAAATATATGCAAGTCATTTTATGTCTAAGCAACACTACACTTATTTCTTCAAGACAGGCCACATCACCATTCACCATATAAAAGCATATTCATTCATAGTAACAAAAAAATTGCACTATCAATGTAATATAATTATTGAACGGGAGCCTTGGAGCAACGGTCAAGTTGTCTCCGTTTGACCTATAGGTCACGGATTCGAGCCATGAAATCAGCCATTGATGCTTGCATCAGGATAGGCTGCCTAATACATTCCCTTGGGATGCGGCCCTACCTCGGACCCTGCGTGCACGCAAAATACTTTGTGCATCGGGCTGCCCTTTAGTGTAATATAACTGCGATAACAAGTTATTACTTTATCTGAATTATTTATAAGACTTGTTATGAAATGCAATATATTGTGACACCATGTTTTTCCCCACATCTCATCAAGAGTAGGGAAACATATGAGAGGCAAGAACTGTTTAATATCACTATCACTGATTACAAAATGAGCAAAAGACATTTGAAATACAAAATATTCTCTAAGTCAAAACTTTGACATCAATATATGAAACTGAAAATGAACGATAAAGCACAAGATATATAGGCCAAAAGACACATCATAACAACAGGAAGAAACCTCGCGCAACAATAAGAATGATCATTCTACCCAGCTAAAAGTGCCTTGATGATTTTGACTCCCATTCCTTCAAGCATTGGGACCAAATGACCAGAACCTGTAAGTTCATGATATTTGATCCACGGTAACTGCTGTGCGATATACCTTTGTAGTATGGCAGGTGAGAGCTTATCCTCATCGCCTTGCCACAAGTGAACGGAACCTTCATTGTTAGGAAATGGGTTCTCAAGATCCATTGGGTCGAATTCCCATGTTCCGAAGCTAATCATCAAGTCTCGGTGGAGAGACTCGTAATCTCCTTGTTGTCTTACTTGTGCCTGAAGTGTCATTGGATAATGAGTAACAGAAACAGTGGAATTTAAGAGAGTAGTTTGATAAGCGCAAGCAAAATGAAAACTCTATAAAACCATAAAGAGAAACATCGCAAAGCAAACTTATTGAACATAGCAAATTACAAAATGTACACATGTTTGGCAATTACGCCTAATCTCGAACACTTGCTGCACTTGACAGCACAGTCTAGAAAACGAGAAACAAGCATGAGAAAATGAGCAGAAATAAGCAACTTTGCACGTGGATTTAGTTTTTATATACAAAAACTTTGCCCGTGGAGTTAATTTTCTATATGCAAAAGCACCACAAGCACACTGAGATCTGCCTATGGGAATGAAAGCTTTAGTATACAAACAGAAGCTAAGGCACCAAACATGCCCGTGCAGACAAACTTTTCTGCTTTTATTTAAACTCATAACATCTATTTGATGTCCATTCTTTTTAGTACACGCTTGAAACACTCTCCTCTACAAATTCATGAAACTGAAGAAATCTTTCATGCAAGTTAGAGAAGAAGAAATTTATCCAGCAATATCTCCCATCTTTTTTCTATTTAGGGCTTGGGCAACAAAAAGCAGGAAATCGGGAGTCAATGTACTATCTTTTACCAAATACTTTCATAATCTGGAAAAGTTCATACAACAATAGGCCACAACTAGAATGGACTACGACTTGAAAATGGCTAAAGCTCAAAAAATATGGCATGATTATGTAATAATCCTTCACCACTAGTGGCAAGCTAAAGAAATGGCATCCGAATAACGTTACCAGCCAAAATGGTGTTCTCTGTCGCATAGTGTGTCATCATCCCTTTGCATGATTTCCCTTAGTAAGCAGAGAGTCATCCTAAGGCCCATTGTCCTCATACACCACATCTTCTTAATTCAGGATCCTATGCACCACATCTACTCAAGATTCCATACACAACAAACATGTTTTTCTATCGCGATGGTTTTCAGGCAAACTTGTGTGCACCTGGACTAATTCATTGGGTACCTACTACCTCCAATCGACACAGGCACCAGGTAATTCTATCCACTAAGGCTTAGGCGGATGAGAAGAAATCACCTAGAGTTTATTTTTGATAGGATTTCACCCACTTCTCCATACACAACAAGCTTATTAGAACCCATTTCTTGTTGAAGGCCTCGACACTTAATAGTGAGACTTGGAGGCTTCAACTAATGCGGGTCCTCTCCAGAACCCTACCTAGATCGAAAAGTAAATGAACCATTATAGCTGACGATATTATCCATTATGCCTTACAATGTCTCCTTATTGAAGGCCAGCTGATGTTTGTAATACGAAGTATTCGTTTCTTATTCAATTAATAATCCATAATACTGAGCTAAATTAGCTATAATGCTTTGTTTTCAAGGGGGTAGTCTAGTGGTCGAGGAACTGGAGTAACGTATCCTAGCAGATGCAACACTAAATTTTTCCCCCTATTTAGTCTAACTATTGGTGGTTAGAGTTACTCAATACATGTACTAGTAAAAAATAACAAGTACCCGTAAATTAATCAAGGTGCACAATCTGGTCAGCACACCATCATCATCGAAAGTAAAAGAAAGTTTAACCATTATGCCCTTACAGTATCTGCTTGTTAAATGCCGATCAATCCTTATCGTTGGAAGTAGATTGATGTCAATGTACTTTTACATATCAGTGGTCCACTTTCAAAACTCGGATACATATATTTATTTCTGACAATCCTAAGCTGCAATTAGAGTTGTAAATTAGCCGACTTGCATGACTTGATTCAACTTCTATAAGCCCAAAGTTGCTACATTTTGGTGCGTTTGATTGCTACATTTTGGTGTGTTCAAACTTGCCACATTTATTCATGTTAACTACAATTCAATAATCACAAACAGGAGCTTCTTGTTCTAGGTCTAAAATATAAAAGCAATTCCAAGTAACTCATTAGACCGCATGTCATAGTCCAAAAGAATAGACTAACTTTGCAGACCAACTCTCAAGAATGCCAAACATAAAATGTTTAGCCTTTTGAAACTGCTGTTGAACTCAAATAGGTTCCTTTTTCCTCATATCTTGTTCTTTTGTCCGCCTATTTCTCTCCGTCCCACCTCACCCCCAACCCTTCGAAGCATTGACCCATTTTTAGTCTTTTAATTGTGTAGTTGGACTCAACTAGGTTTCCTTTTTCTCATCGCTTGTTCTTTTGTTTCATCTCTCTCTCATCCCCCCGCCCCTGCTAGAAAACAACCGTACATGGCTTTAACTTTCTTTAGTTATTCAACTCCTGTTTTCATATCTATCAAGACAAATTTTCTTTAGTTACATAACTTCCATTTTCATAATTTTTGTTGGAGAAACTAAATAATAAAAACTGTTTTTCTATTGCTTAAAATTTTAGATGAGGCGGTCACGTACTTTAATATGGTATAGCCGGACCTATCCCTAATGTTGGGATACTCAATGTTGGGGTCACCCATTTCAGGTTCACGCTCCAAATTTCCAACGCTAGAGGTTCGGAAAGGTAGGGAACTAGAATCTCACATCGGCTAAGTGTATGAGATGTAGTCTCTATTTATGGTCTTTGACACTTCTCACCTTGAGCTAGCTCTAGGGGTTGAGTTACACCTTAGGTTCACTTATCTCAAAAATATCAATCTTGTTCTTTTGTTCTCCTTCATCTTCCTTTCTCTATTTCTTCATGTTTGAAGAAGGAGTTATACACTCTTTGAGTACCTTTAAGAGATGAGAATTTATCTTTGGCTAGATATACGAAATACTATAATCTAGGTAATGGTAGACTACAATTCATTGTGTTTTCCTTCAAACCTGTTCATTATGTATAACATTTTTTGGCTAACGCTTTACCTGTCTAAATACTTCTAGTACTCTTCTCTTTTGCAGAATTCGAGAAAAATCAAAATAAACAGAAAGTTAAGATGGTCTGTTAGAGTTGATTCTACAATTTGAATCTGGATTCAAGAAAATAGGAAAACTGATGCAAACTGGATAGCTAATTTTCTTTTTGATAAATTAACATTTTCCATCGTTGTGCACCAAGTCGGTGTTAGCTACACAAAGGTAGAGTGTACAAGGATGCTTTAGGCCTCCCAAAAATCTAGCCAACTATCTATAGTCCCGGTCCATCATTAGATTGGAACTTCTTATTTGATCCATCTATTTACATTTACACACCATTTTCAGACCATGAAAAAAGAATCACTACTGACATGCACAACAGGACACCAAAAAGGTTAGATCAAAGAAGTTAAAACCTTGGTACCTAGTCATTTAAAGAAAATTATCAAAGCATCAGAACATTTTGAGCTGTCATTTCATGCCCTAGGTTTGGAATTCTGTAAATGCAAGTCGTCTACCCTAAAAATGAAGATGATAAAGATGAATAGAGAGATGCTTATATGATTGGCAAACTGGTAGTACAAGTGCAATTGATCACCTGGTCAAATGATATTTTTTCGCAAAATTAAACTAGGCCATCTATACTTGCATCGTTACAACAAATGGATACGAAAGGACAGAGCTCTTACACGATAGTCCTGGGATTCCTGGCTTGAGCGTTGCTTGGAAATTAGCTCTAGGTCCTGTGAAGAGAAAACGGCAGGGTTGCGACCTGCAGCACTGCATGCAGGAAAGAACTTCTGACTGTTCCACCAATATGTAAGCCACGGAAAGTAATGAGCAACACGAAGTGTCCATTGGTCTTGAGGAAGCCGAAGATTGAATGCTTCTTGCGACAAATTGGCGGGGAACCTAGGCCACCAGTAGTTGACGACTGGTGCAATAAGAGCCGCGCCTGCCAATCTATTACAAGTAACGGAACGTGATTCTTGAATCTTGATATTTATTTCAAATTACTTAATAAAACAAAAAAAAAAATCATAAATTTTGCTCCTGACAGAAGCGGTTGAGATTCGTTTATAGAGTCTGCTTTTTCCAGAAAAAATTTCAAGCTTCTCTTCTACAACAACTAATGAATTGACAGAGATTCCATATGACGTCTAACGCTCTCCTAACGTACATAAAATGAAAATGAGATTACCTATGAGGAATGTATCTGAGACAGGTCCAAACAGCCTGTCCCCCCATTGAAAATCCCATAACATAGAATTTGGATCCTAGACCTAATTGATCGGCAAGCTCCTGTACATCAAACGCCAAGCTCTTTACTGTTCGTTTTGGATTAGGATCACTTTCTCCATAACCAGGTCTGTCAAAGGAAACAACGTACACTCCTAAACTTTCAATAACATCCTGCAAAAGAAGATTTTTTTTTTCAAAAAACAGAGTTGGTCCGTAAAAGAATACGAGCAAAAGGATCAAGTGACATTTTACTTGAGAGAGGGTGCCGGCAATTGGGACATCATGTCGGCAACAATCGTACCCATGGATATACACAATCTTATACTTTGCGTTCTCTTTAGGTACACCAATTTCCTTGTAAGCCAAGAATCTTCCGTCACTAAGTTTGATCCTAGGTGCGGTGACAGGAGGACCATCGGGGGACCCACAGGTTTTCGGGGGAGGCGGCCGTGTTGCCTGATAAGCCCACGCCAAGAACCCCGTCAAAACAACCAGAAGAATTTTTCCAAATATCCCTGAAATGTTCTCATTTGAGTTGCAAGATAATCCCAAAAATCAAATAACTTTGAAGAACAAAACAACAGAGCAATCACATTCCAGCGTCTAATAAAAATAACAAAAGAATGGAGATTGTGTAGAGAAACATTTGCACATTCAAGCAGCCTAAATCAAGTTAAACCGAAATTTCCGCTCCAAAGAGAAGACAAATTGGTTCTATTTACAGTTTAAACTTGTATAAACAAAATGATATATCCAATTCCAAGATTGATGAAAAGCATCTCATTTAATACAATTCGAACAAAAAAAATGAAATTTTGTATAGAAGCATTTGTAAACTCAAGCAACTTAAGGCAAGTTAAATAAAAATGTTGCAATTTTAACTAAAAACCAATTTAAACCGAACTTGTATAACTAATAAGTACGATATATCCAATTCCAAATATTGCTTTAACACCGACAACGTAAAGATCTTTTTAAATCATCAGTAAATTTTAACATTGTGATAGCAGGTTAATTACCATTTTTACCAAGATACCAAGTAATGCATATCAGGAAATCTCGACCTGATTGTGTAAATAGTTTTTATACCATCGGTGCATAGAATGGAAACTCAACCAAGACTCACCGAAAGGACCCACCATCTATAGTAATAGGTGTGCATGTGAGAGCAAATCAAAATCAAAACTTTCACAGTAAATGTAATAAAGTTATCAACTTTACAGAATTAAGATTCAATTCATCACTATATCGTTTACAGTGTAAAGATCTTTCTACACTATCAGTAATTTAACCTATCATAGCACGCTAGTTACGATTTTTACCAAGATACCAATATCAAGAAATTAACATGTAAATTACCTAATAAATGACCTGATTGTGTAAATATTTTTTACATCGTTAGCGCATAGGCGTGCATGCCCCAATAAACTCATTCAAATGTGAGAGAATATCAAAATCAAAACTTTCCACCAAATGTAATAAAGTTATCAACTTTACATAATAAAGATTCAGTTATTCATCACTATATATTCTAAAACATATGATAAAATTGAAAATTCATACCAAAAAAAGAAAACAAAAGAAAGAAACTCAAAATCAGAATCAAAATCAAAATCAAAACTTTCTCCACCAAATATAACAGATTTATGAACTTTACATAATCAAGATTCAGTTTTTCATCACTATATATTCTACATATGATACATTTGAAAATTCATATTACCAAAACAAAAAAAAGGAAAAAGAAAAATGAAAGCCCACCTGAAGAAAAAGGAAAAGAAGTTTTTTGCTTAGCTTTACGAGTGTGAGCTCTGGCTGAAGCTGCTGAAATTTTCCTTGGAACCCCAGCTGCCATTTTTTTTTAAATCACTTGTAAATTCTTGATTTTGAATTTACTAGCTCTGTATTGTAGTATAAGTGTAGATTTATTCACAGATTTAAACTCAATTCAGGTACAAAAGAAGACAGAGCGATCTGAGTCTGAGCTCTCTGATCTAATAATAGTTGCACTTTTGAAGAGTTCTTGCCCAATATTGTGCTTATCTTTGACTAGGTATATTTTGGTCCCTTATATATAATCCTGTTCATATTTAGTCCCTTAAATATGCTAAAGTGGAGCACCTTTAGTCTTGCTGACACAATGTATTAAAAAACTAACCGTGTTACCCAACTCTGATTCATGAAGCAAATCTTCTCTCTAAAGCAAAACATTTCCTCTCATTTTATTGGATAACGTAAACTATCACTTTTGTTCCTTATTTTTAGATATTGTCTTTTAAAATTTTGACCTTGAAATATCCCTTTATGTGCCAGTTTTTAATGAGAAAATGACAATGTATAGCTGCTGTAAAAATAATTAGCCGAAAAAGTATATTAAAATTGTATAATTTTTTCGTATATATATTTACATTTAAAAATTTTGGTTTGTTTTTCCAAAAAAGAAAAGTTAAAATTTGAAAGAAAAAAAAAATAGAGCTGCCAGGATCACTTCTAGGCATATTATTGAAGCAAACGAATAATTAGGTTGTATTATCACTTTTAGCCAGTGTCAGAAACTATTTACATCTGGTAGCCGAAAAAGTATATAAATTTATATAATTTTTGTATATTAACATAAAAAATGTATATATCCCCTTCTGTGCCAGTTTTCAATGAAAAAATAACATTGTATATATATACAGTGTCATTTTTTCATTCCCCTTCTGTGCCAGTTTTCAATGAAAAAATGACATTGTATATATACAGTGTCATTTTTTCATTGAAAACTGGCACAGAAGGAGATATTTTCAAGATCAAAACTTTAGAAGACATTATCTAAAAATGAGGAATTAAAGTGATAATTTGCGTTATCCAATAAAAGGAGAGGAAACGTTTTGCTTCAGAGCAAAAGATTTGCTTCATGAATCAGAGTTGGCTAACACCGTTAGTTTTGAACACATTATGTCAGTGAGACTAAAGGTGTTCTACCTTAGCATACTTAAGGGACTAAATATGCTCAAGGTTATATTTGAGAGATCAAAATAGACCTACCTTCAAAAGAAAAAGGATAATATTGGCCAAAAACTCTAAGGACACCTTTTGACCCAAGCATATTTTATTTTCTTTTTTTAACTCTTTCCCCCCCCCCCCCCCCCCTTTTTGGTTTGTAAAAAGAAACTCTTTTACATTGGAGGATAGTGGGAATAGTATTTACACCTAATATGTGGAAAATTCTTACCATAGTCTGATAGCATTAGATTATAAGATTTGATGCTTTTTTTTTTGGTTCCTAATTAATTTTTAATATGTCTAAAAGCTTTTTATTATTACTCCCTTTATTTTATTTTATATGTCTTAGTTAAACTGGCTATGAGGATTAATAATGGAAAGAAGTACTTTTTGAATCTTCTAATGAGAATGTTGGAATTATAAATATAGAAAGGGGCATTTTTTTGAAAATTAGGCTAAAAAGGAAAGTAAGATACATAAATTAAGGGGGATGTATTATTATTATTATTATTATACTAAGAATATACCGTTCGTGCCCTAGATGATCTAGATGATATAGAAGAAAGACTTTGATTGGGTGCATCTTCTTATACGTCCTGAGTTAAATTGCATTACTAAACCTGGGTAAGCCATTCCTAAACCAAGATTTTCACCGGTAACAGATCCTCGGTATGTTAAGGAAGAAGCTAGTATTGAGGAGTAAGTTGAGCAGTAATCATATCCGTATCCCTTTGATTCTATTCCAACGGAGAATTGTCTAAGTGCTCTCCTTTGTCTCATTGTTTATCTCGTAATCATTCGATTCCGCCCCTAAAGCTAGCTCCTACTCCTCCTCCTTCTCCTTTAGGATAGGATCCTCCTTGGTGCTTTTTACATAACACTCTCGGCCGCCCAAGAGGACTGGCTATCTTTCTCTTTATACGCAATATCTTGAAAGGCAAAGAAAAACATTTACCTTGGCAACGTCATTGACTGATATATTCATTGCATGGAATGCCACACTCAATTGTCTATTATTATTATTATTATTATTATTATTATTATTATTATTATTATTATTATTATTATTATTATAATAATACCTTCTCGGTTCCCAAAATATATCTGGTTCAACTTGAAAGTGTCAACACATCTAATTTTAAGTATGAAGTTGAAAATCAGTTTGTCTATCCGTTTATACTAAAATTTACATCTTCGCCAGAAGATTAAAATGAAAAGAAAAAAAATTACATTCAGAAAAGTACTTGAATATAAAAAAATGACAAATATTTAATTCAAGCTGAAGGTTGTAGTTAGTGTGAAGAGGCACACGATTTATTAGATGGAAGGTTTGAAAATTTTGTTTCTCATATATTTTCTCTCTTGATAACCGAGAAATTGCCAATAGTTAGTGGCATACGATTTGAAACTCGATGAATAATGGGTTCATTCCTTTACCCTTTTACTAGAAGATTCAAATCCGTGGCCGCATGCCCGATGCCCCTAATCCATATATCATGGGCTATAGTTTTACCACTAGACCAGAGCCTAGCGGCTAGACAGCGTGATTATAGTACTCATATTGTACCTAACACGCAATTCATATTGTGTTGGAATCTGTTTCAGGACACGAGCACGGAGGATCCTTGGGAGTGAACGTCAAGATAAGAGAGGCAGGGCTAGTCTATTAGGTATATGTTCGACCGAACGTAGTTACTTAGCTTAAACATTGTATTTATATTAAAAAAATCTATTAATTATGTATAAATATCTAATTGCGAACCCAATAACCAAGATGAATTAGGAGTTCCGTGGCGAATTCAGAACCCATAAAATTCAAATTTTGGCTTCGCCTCTGAAGACGGGGGCTCGGCATAACATCTTGAGACTTCTAGCCTTATGTCCTCCACAAAGGCTTTGAATGGTTCCACTCTTAAATCCCCTCTACCATCTTTAATGAAACTCAAGTGGTTCTACAAATGCTTGATAACAATTAGAAAACAAAAACTTTTATACCATATGAATTTGGCTTAAATTAAGGAGCAAAAACATCAAGTTCTCACAGAATAGACCACAAAATAGTCTCAAAATGCCAATTCTCTTATTAAAAACTATAACAAGCCGTATAGATTATGGAATATACTCAAAGTACAAGCTAGGCAACGAAAATGATACGCGTGATATAACATGTCAAACGATCTAGTGTATGTAACTCTTACGAAACATTTTTCTCGCCAATTAAAAGAGATTTGACGATCTTGTCTGCCATGCCATTAACCACCGGAAACATGTGACCAGCACCTGGAATTTCATGATATTGAATCCATGGTTGTCGTTGTGCAATATATCGTTGTAAAGTTACAGGTACGAGCTTATCCTCGTCCCCTTGCCATAAGTGAACTGAACCTTCATTGTTAGGAAATGGATTTTCCAAATCCACGGGATCAAACTCCCATGTCCCGAAGCCAATCATTAAGTCACGGTGGAGTGACTCGTGTTGTCCCTGTTGTCTCACCTGAGCCTGAGGATTGTCATGAAGTTAAGAGTAATGGTCAGGTACTAAATAAGATGAGGATATGAAAGCTACATAATACACAAACATGCACTAACAAGCAACAGTTATTCAAATTTTTATTGGAATGAGGCCTATAATTGCATAAATGGTGAAGGCTCTCAGAGATTTACTTCCTCATTTGACCAACAACAAAAGAAACAGTATGTTAAAGTGTTAAAGATGTGCAAAAGCATCTGCAGGAATGCTCTCGCAGTTGAACCATTTAGTAAGCGACTAAGCGTAGCTAATTAGAAGTACTCTGGATTCAAAGATGTTATTAGGGATGTGAGTATTACACCGAGTTAGCATGAAATTGAATGACTAAAGTACTTGTTCCAAGCTCATCAGTTCATCCTATGACTTCAGGTGTACAGCCTAGGCCACCAATTTTGATATCTTTCATGTCCAGCTTTACTATTTTTCGGTCAAACTCATACACGGCCCCCCTAAACTTGTCGAATACTTTCACTTTGATACTTAAAAACTAGGACTAGTACTATTGAACACCTGAACTCGAACAATGTCAATGGGAAGAATTCAATGACCTAGTCAATAAGATCTTTTAATACAATTGCATGGCCAGTGATATTGTTTTCTCATGAAAATAGAGACATCCAAATTGCAACTTATCTGCAGCTAGCCTAGCACTTGAAGTATGTTAGTCTTCTATCCTGTTTACTCTCCCCTTTATTCTGCAAATTTTAGCCCAACCGTGCTATTCACTGATTCATCCAGCAGATTAATTATCAGAAGCCAAAAGATATCACAGTGAGTTACCTTTCTTTCCTTAAGCTGTTAGACACTATATCTGATCGCATCGCTAGTAAAAATGCCCAACATTTGATATATGGGACACATTGATTTTAAACTGAATATTGAGACAGTTCGACTTAAAAAAGGCAATTTTCTATTAGGCCACAAGAAAATATTGTAAAACTTCACGAGCTTACCTGGACGAGGTAAGTGGGTGATCAGGGAGGGAGGCCCAAGGCCTAGGTAGGTGACCATAGTACTTTGGAGGGATGTCTATCTAAGGTTGGTCCAAGTGGTAGAAAATTGTAAAATATCACGAACATGAAGCCACATTCACGCAGAAAGGGAGTTAGGATGAAGGAAGGCAAGCCCAGTGCACCGTTTGTACGAGGCATTTCCTAACATAAAATTCCATTGAGAGTTCATACTGGCAGTCCGGCACCAGCTCACGAATGTCGTTCTTCGGTACCGCCATCAGTCTAGCCACCCAGGTGATATATCTACTCAGGGTGAACTGTCACTCTCTTTCTCCTTTTTTTTGGCATTGTGATAAGGACCTCCGGGTGAACTATCTTAAGGTTCCTTGACCAGTTTTCCCTCCTTAATTCCTCCTCGTCCTTATTTGATTAAGTATTCTTTTCAAATTCAACCAAGTATCCATCATCAGATGATTACACCCTTTTTTACGCCCTATTAATCTTTTTTTCTTCTGATAGGTAATGCCGTTCGTGCGTGTGGTAATTCTATGTTGATCATCCTATTTATTTCAGGCGCATTTGTTT